GATTTTTTAGAATGCAACCTAGTCTTTATTTTTGCGTGATTCAAATCTACAAATGAACCGTTTGTCGGATTGTTGATCCATAGAGGGACCGTATCAAAGACATAAATAACTACCTGTATAAATGATGAAAATTTTTCGAGACGTTCCGAGAATCGTGATTCCGAGGATATCGAGTGGCCCATAGACACTTCCAAAACTCGCCAATATATAAGCGTTAACCCCTCAGGAGGTTCACGCAAAAATTAAGAAACTTATGCATATGTTATAATGCCGTTTAATCTGGCAAATGAATATCTCACTTAGGAATAATCTTAATTAGAAATTGAAAGAGACCGGTATAAGTATATGTCCTGACTGTCCAGAACACCAGAAGAATCACTCACGGAAAAACTATTTACTTGCATGGCATGAGGAACAAGTAAGGAATAAATAACCAAATTGACGACCCTTTCAATCGTCCCTTCTCAAAACTGCAGCAGGATTCAAGAGGCACATTCATATGGAGTATATATTTCCAGAATTAGAGTTTCCCATGGTTTCCTTGATAAAGGATTTTGAGCTCCAAAAAAACTGTTGAACCAGGTTAATGTTTCTTTCAGGCTAGACTATGACATCACTGATTGCGACTGATCATTAATAAACACGACGGGTTGACTTTATATTTCAGCAAAATATAGAAAGAATTACACAAAGATTAAGAAAATACAATTTGATGTTTTTGTCATTTTCAAATGTATTTTGTGTTTACGTTTGTATAAAGAGAGGAGGTCAATAATAATGTTATACTTTGTGTCCAATCCCCTTCGCTACTTTTGCATATAAAATATGTTTAAACCAAACACGACGGGAACACCCCAGATATTTAGTCGTATTGGCGCTGTTGCTGTCTGCCTTTATTTCGACTTATGGTTTTTACACACCTTCTTACTTTTTACAAAATATAAATATACAAAATATCTTTGAAAAGAATAGAAGTGGAACACCTAGAAAGTTGTGTTCGTGCAATGGTCAATTATTTGTCTGTCCTTTCTGATATTTAGCTTAATTTCAGTATGTTTAGGTGAGTTTAAGATTGAGTTTTAGTTTCGTTCTGGTTTACTTTATTTTTAGCGGATTTATGGGTCCTTGTCAGGGTCATACCGACATATATGTATGTCTCATTTAAAACAAATTCTACAAACAAATAATTCGGATTTTAAATAACAGTACACGAACTTGTTTCATATCGTTAAAGTAGAAAAGTAAACCCATATCTCGATCATTTATTTGTATTGAAAGTTAAATTTTTAGATCTTTTATTATTCAAGGCTCTAATAGAAAGTGTGACAAAATATGGAAAATACTTGGAATCCGAGCAGAATGCAAGCATGCAAACACCCATGTTTGTAAAACACGAAATCCAATCAAAGCATTTCTTACCTGGAGCTGAATGCATAATTCAATAATATTTATAGAAGATTTGCGATGCGTCAGCAATTCAACAAATCAACCTTCAAAATATAAGATTTCTCATTGGCGTATACTACATATCTCCTTTTATGAATATCTAAAGATCCCAATACGGTATTCGACGATATACAAATACACACTCCGTAGTACAAGCCCCAAGTTCTCGTAAAGTAGTTATGAATAATGTCAGCAGAGATGACCGATAGTCTAATAGAAACAACGCACTTCATTATTAAAAGGAAATACAGAGTTATATAAAAAGACAAATCACAGACGAGATTCATCCCAAAGTCCAGAAGTAAAAAGAGATGCGAGTATCTGCATGAAGGAAGGGGTTGTCTAATCATTTAGCTAGTTATATATGTATGGTGATCAAATAATTCAAATTAATTAAAAATCATCTTCGCTAGCCAAGGGTTACGATCCACTTCCCTCCTCTCCACCCTTGGCAGATTAAGCCAACATTTGTGATAAAGTCACGCCCATTCTGAATACAGTATACTTGACCAATGGTAGCACTTGAACTCTTCAATTTGGAGGTAAAAACACGGTAGCGTCTAGATTCTACACACTTGGTAAAGCAGTAAACGAAAGTATACGTTGACATTCATGCATTTGTGCAAGAAACATACACAGGAACTTCTATTAGTTGATTAAAAACATTCAAATTGTCCCTAAATAAAGTCGTATGTTTAGGGATGTAAAGACTTGTTGCACAATAAGCACGTGGCAATTGTTTACATACACTTTCTACATTTACACGTAATCATGTTATAGGCGCTTTTTGATTGGATGCAGCGAGTTTCGACTGCAACCAATGAAAATCATTACCTTGTGTCTCCGAAATTCTATCTCAATCTGCCAAGGGTGGAGAGGAGGGAAGTGGATCGTAACCCTTGGCTAGCGAAGATGATTAAAAATCGGCTACATGTAAATCTTTAATATTTTTAAAACTTGGATTAGTAACCAAATACACACATAATGAAAATATTAATACAAGTACTGACATGTTTCTAGGTAAATCAGTTTCTACTTACGTATGTACTTAAAGGGGCATTAGCTGTCAAATTCATGTTCACCGATTTGACTCAAATTCTCATATTTGATTTACAACATACTAACACGTATAAAATAAACAATTTACGATGCATGGACTCGATAATATGTACTAGAATTTCGTGTGTATTTTAGTCTAGACGCCATCTAATTAACCATCGAGGTGACCTCCGAAGACTGCCAACGGTCCGGTATAACATACATATAGATATGAATAGATACCGAACACGTGCAATGGGATTTTTCTAGGTCTGTTGGATTTCATATTATAGGTTGAAAAATATGTTAATCATCGTTTTTACCTGTATAAGAATGATTTTAAGTGGATCGAATCAGTCAACCAAATGGTTTACAATTGTTCATCTTTAAATGTTGACATTCTTTTCCTTTTAATAGCTGAACACGACCAATTTATACGTAGCCCATCTGCTAAGGGGTTAAATTGAAGGTCACATAAATACGGATTCAATGAGGTCTAATTATTAACTTGCAAGTGAATAATTTATCAGCGATGTGTCTCAGCTTATTTTGACCAAATTGAGCCAAACTGGCTGCTTAAAGCGAATTATTATTTCACTATTTCACTTTCATTAATGATTGAACAAAAAACTAATTTATTTTAATTTTGTTAATATCTCGTAGCTTGTGTCCCTTTGAACCTCTCATTTATAAGAGGAAGAACACATAAAACTATCAAACATGACACGAAAACGGCACTAATCTGAAAAGTTATAACTAATTTTCTATAGCTATTTAGCAACTAATAAAATATTGATATTAGGGAATCAATATTGATATCTATTAACGTTGAATGTTGTTTTATCTTTTCTTTTCTTTTTTTCTTTTTTTTTTAGGCTTTGAGTGGTGTATAAATACGCAGCTACGTCCGGACTGAATGAGGACATTAATTCAATATATGTGTGGAAAAAATAATCGACTTATCACCCTTCAAAAAGCGCAAACAACAACAACAACGATTGGCTGTGTGGGGAAGTCACGTCTGATCTAATTTCGAACGTACTTATTAGAGCTTGTGGCATCCACACTACCTATTGCGATGGGACGTCCGTTCAGCTGTATACGGTGGTATAGATAAATATATTATATTTTTTTTCTGCAAATGTCATTGTAAAATACAATATATAGAATATAGGAACGCGCTTCTTCAGCATGGGTTTTCTTGACAGACAGGGAAAAGTTCTAGTGACCATACTTTTATACACCAGTCAACTCTTAAAGTTCATATGGTTAATAAACTTGTCTATAATTGTTGAAGACCGTATGTTGATCTCTAAATGCTTTTGAAGTGTGTGTGTGGAAGGGGTTTGCTGTCTCGAAAATTTTCAAAACTTAAATAACTATCTACAAAGGGAAATAGCGACATCACAAAATGTTTTGCGCCTAAAAATGTAAAAAAAAAATATTTGATGGTTTTGTCTAGCGCAAACCAAAAACTGGTGATTTATTTTGTACACTTTACTATTATTTTATCATGGGTATGTCTTGTATTTTAAAAAAAAATGTACCAATCACTCCAGAAGGTGTAAGATTGTCTGGAAAACAATGACTTACCACTAATTCTTGTTGCCACAATCCCGCCCTCTTTTCATCATTGTGACAATACTGAACTTATCACTGAGTGTTTACTTACCAGTAACACAGCGGGTTCCACCAGTTTAGAAGTAACTGATTATGGTGTACCCTTCTAGAGCACCTAAGTTAACCCGTATATTGATTGGGATAAGTATGTTGTGAACTGTTCTTTGTCTTTTTATAGTTTTTTCTTTGGGTCATGGTGCTGTCTATTTATCTTCGACTTGTAGTTTTTGATTGCCACCTTTGTATTTTCTTATCCTTTTTTAACCCATGGTTAAATCTATAAAAAATACATTTTATCAAAAAAAATTAAACACAAATACGTCAAGAGTGAGTAAAGAAAGGGGATTTGCGTGATTGATAGGTAGTTGCTAAAAGGCGACAAGATGGGAGTTCACATGAGGTAATAAAATATTCTCTGTTCTTTATTTTTCTTCTTTTTTTTTCTTGGTATTAATAATTTGATCTGCCTCTCGTTTTCTTTCTGATAAAGCATATTCATTCAAAGGACAAACATAAAAGTGTTCAAAACCCATTCAATTATAAAAGGCACCGACAAAATTGTGAACGAATAAAGGTTATGACAGCCGAAGATCAATTTCGTTGGGTTTTTTTTTTTCAATGATCATAATTTTGGTGGTTTCCACGATTTCATTTTTAAAACACGTATCTGATGTCCAGATTCCTTCCTCTTAAAACCTTTGTTACGACAACTTCGCCGCTTTGGATACATTTAAATATATTAACTTTCTTTAATTTTATAATTTCTGGTACTTCTGACATTGGAATTATTGTTAATTCATATATTCTGGATTTGATTTCTATGTATAAGGCAAAACAGTAATTATTACACTTAATACTATTGTTTACATGTAACTTGGCAACCGGTGAATGTTCAATTCAGTAAGCTTCGTTAAAACAACAAATATTTGCTCTAGCTGTGAAAATGTGTGATTTGTAATTCGTTATGAAAAGTGCGATGATACTGGCTTTTTCAATTTTAAGTCAATTTCACAATAGATAAACTTCTCGTTATTGTTATGTATGATTTGATCAAAATTTATTGCGATTTAATTGGTAGTTATTGATCTGAAATAATGGCAACCGACATTTACTTATTGTTTCTAAGAACTATCCGTTTTAGATAGAGCTATATAAAATGAACAGACTCCGATCGATGAAGGCTGTCATTTCAAATCTAAACACTGTCTAATGCCAATGAGGAAAATAAAGCTGTGCTCAAGAAACATATGGATCTTCTTTGTTCTTTTATTCTGTTGATATATTGCGTTCCACCTGATCAAAAAGTTCTTACACGATATCTCTTTAAACTTTGTGAATTATTTCTTCATAGTGTACGTGTGATTTCAAAACATACTGCGATGATTGGTCTATACAGTTCAAGGTATTGTATAGAATATTAGTTAAAATTTCGTTCATCATTCTCTGTAGTGACATATATTTTCAAAAGGAATATGCAGGTTGTATATAGTGGTGGTTCTACCCCGACACCGTCACCTCGCCTTCAAAGGAAACAGATTAAAGGTTACGGTAGACCTGTTTTACCAGGATATTTTCCTCCTACCGTGCATCATACAAGTACACAAAGATCTCAGTCAAAGGAACGGGAAAAGGAGGATACGGAATCTAGTCTGAGAGATTCTATCCCGGCCATGATGAAGCCAGTAGCTATTATGTGCTTGATCTTTAATATTATCATTCCAGGATTAGGTAGGTATACTTTTTTGTAACACATGTTCATAACATTCTTTTTTAACCTGTGTCGTGTGATTCAATTGATATATCTATTATATATCGATTCATACTAACACATCAAATATGAAACTGAATGTTTAATGTACCGTAAGCTTTCATGAGAAAGATTCCTATGCGCTGAGGAGTGCTCCAGTTTTTATTGAAATCTTTTTACTTAGTAGTATAATAATGTTACAACCGAGTAAATTTACCAGATTTCGATTTTTTATGCGTTTGGTTGAATGTATTTCACGAAGTGTACACTGATGTATCCCGACTTTTCATGTTTTGTGGTGAATCATGGTAGGTATAAAACACATTTATCTCAATACCTGAATAATTTATGCGAACACGTAAAAAATACAAGCAAACATAATGAATTTGCAATGAAAGAAGTGTAGTCAGGTACTTTATAGCTCAGGACCTCATGTAATGGGCATTCATTTTCGCTATTAAGCCTCTCATGTATCATGCAAAGAGTTTTAAGATATTCAAACTACAAATTAATCATACAAAAACATGTTTTTTTCTTCGCGTTAGAATTGTGTTTCATTATTGACTTTATTAGAGCTTAAATTGATGAAAGCAAAGGAAAGTGAAAATATTGGATGCAATAAAACCAACAGGGACTAAATAAAACAGCAGGAACAAAATAACTAAGTCGGCTTTACTATGGAGAAGTTAAGCAAAACATGTAATGGAACTATAGTAACTTCGAGTTAACCTGCAATAGGAATAATATTGTCATTACGAGTGGCGAAGATGGTCATGCAGCCTGGAAATAGGCCAAATTATTTTCGAAAATAATTTTCTACAATTATCCATGGTTATTTAACGATATATTTTGCTAGCAGCATTATTTGCCTTTTATCAACCTCATTAGGAATAAAAGCAGAACAAAAAGTATCTAATTCTACATATGCCTATGAAACTCACTAACATTATACTCTTGTCAAATAAACAGAAAATCAACAAATTAATGCAACCATTAAATACAAAGAGCAACTGTGTGCCATCTAGAATGGCGTTATTTTGTAGACGCCAAACTAATTTAGTGAACCTCTTTAGATTTTAAAAAGGAATTTTGTGTTTATGACAGCTGTTAGATAAGTCTGAGCTTTGTCAAATTATCCACAGCTATATATGGACTCTGTGCGACTTAATGCCTGACATACGGTATAGACACTTGTCTATTGTTGGAGACCGTGTGGTGTATTTAATTCGCCTGTTGTTGACTTATTTTACTCTAAAGCTTGAATTTTCTAACTTAATTTAATATTTTAATTCATTTTTGATAAACGAAGCACATGCGTAAACATTTTTTTCTTCACAAGCTGGGAATTACTTGACTTCATGTTTCGCTGATTCGTGATTCGATAGCAAAATATTTAAATTAATTGATTGACATTCGCATAATCGGTTTTCATAATAATCAATTGTGTTAAGAAACCAATAAAATAAATAATTCAATACACATTACACTTGTTACAAAAAGTTGATAAATACCGAAGCTTGAGAAAACTAGTTTAATATACTTATATTCATAAAGCATTATTTTTACCTAAATGTGTCATCGGTCGAACTGATAATTGGGAAACAAAAGTGCATTTTTAATATGGAGTAAAATTCCAAAATTGATGCAAGGGTGTGTTAATACGCATGTCAATAATATTTATGCATTTAAAAGTTATGTTAATTTTATTGATAAATGAACTGGTTGATATAACCTGGACGCTAAAGTGCAGAAAAATCATTTGTGATGTAAAAACATGGCCAAATAGACATGATTGACCTAGAATAGCCATTTTACGTGTAGTTTTTGGACAGAGTAGATGTGTCAAGGCTCACACAGAAAGATAGTTTAGACACTTCAACATCTTTGTAAATTACATCTTGCAGAAAAATATTTTTAAGGTAAAGCTTTGCCTTAAATCTAAATATTAATGACACGGTCTCAAGTTGAGGCTATTTTGGCAGTTTTTGCACTAAATGGAAGAAGTTTGAATCCTTTATGTAAATATGTAAAACACAAAATTCAAACACATCGGTAGGATGCTGTTTGGTAAATTTATAATATTCATTGATTTTTCGAATTCAAAGTGCAAAAAAGAGGCTTTATCATACCTTTTCTTCTAACGCTGATATTTTCCAATCAGGATTTTTCTGTTGTAATACAATTGCTAAAACTTCAAAGAAAATATCTAACCAATAATTAAAAGATTTGTGTTTGAGCTTGACAAGTTAGCATAATCTTATACAAAGCAACTAGGGCCACATCTTTATCTCTTACTTTACTACATTTAGATCATAATACTTATAACACTCAGAAAAAGATACTCATGCGGTTAAGATGGAAATTTTATATTGATTACTTTAAGACATTAATGCATATCTCAAACCAGAAGATGAATTGGATCTAAATTTAATATCATTTGAACAGTTACTGAGGCGAAAACATGCATAACAACGTTAAGAGCATTGCATGGTTTGTTCATTGATTTATAAAAAAGTCACTTTTTCCAGAGAGTGAAATTAAAAGTTATACAATATCGATAAAAACAAAACAAATTCAAGTGGAAAATACTATTTTCCATTTGTCTCTAAATCATTGAGTTAATATGATTTTGAACTCTTTCTCCCTTCGTATGAAGTTGTTGATGTTTTGTATATTCAAATAAGTGATGTTGATGAAGTTTGAGGCATTTTGTAGATACTATTTCCACAATATTGTATACAAAGGCATCCCAGAGATAACACGCTAGAATGGCTGTTAAACAAATCATGTATGTGTTAATTACCTTTAGCCTCAGTCAATATGTGCAACCACTGCACACTGCGTGTTACAATAAAGGAATCAACCACTGAGAACGTTATAAAAATCAATGGAAGATATTGTGAGAATCGTTTTAAATTCATTCACTGTCACGAATTTCCATTTATTGCTTTTCTGAATTTAATTTGAAATGAATATCAAATTTTATTTTACGCCATAACTTACTTCTGTTAGAATATATGTCGAAAATCATGAGGAGCAATTTCAACGAAACTAGGTATACAAACTGCAACATTTTGAGGCTGGTCACGAAATAATGAACCAATTTTACATCAACGGTCAAACTTATGATCAAGTAAAATATATATTTGAAAAAAAAATATATGTTTGTTATCTCTTCAATATTAGTTTTTATTATTTATAAAAAGCTTTAAAAAATCCATATAAACTACAGTTTTTATGTTGAGCGCTCCTGATGAAGGTAAATTTAGAAAAGCGGTTCGGACGCACCAAATTTATTTTTATAAAAGTTTTTTCGTATTCGCTCTAAAGAAATTTCGACCAAATTATCGTACAGAAAACCCTTTTTATTCGATTGTCTTGCATTGCATTGTTTAATGCGTTTTAAAAAAGAGACAGAAAAAACCAAAGAGACCTTCAATAACCATAAGTCGAAGAAAAAACGACAATACTATGGCTATAGACGACAAATAGACCAACAACATAGTCTCAAACAATAAAGACTTATCTTTCTTATTATCATACTTAATGAATTATCCCATTCCTTTTAATTAATTATTTTTGGCAAGGATGAAAACACAATCCAAGTTGCATTGTTCTGAGGACATTGAACATTCACTTTGGTAAAGGACAGCTATATACAAGAAAACAGTTTAATAAAGGGTTTACGTACAGTTGAGACGCTTCTACATTTTTACGGACGCCATGCGACTAATATCTCCTGATTTTAATTAGCAATGAGCAGCACGACGGGTACCTTAAGTGAAGCAGGAACATCTTATCATTCTGAAGCAACCGCGTTCACTTTTGATTTTTTGTTTGTTTAGTGTTTCTTAATTATAGGTTTGTTATGTAGTGTCTTGTGAACTATAATCATTGTTTGTCCGTTGTTTTTTGTTTTTTGTTTTTTTATTATAATATTGTCTGTTTTTCTACTAATGTTATTTTTTATTTCCATCCAAGTATCCTCTTCAAATTTTTAGAACGTCGAAATTAACCAACCCCAAAAAAGAGTTACATGTTTCACAATCAACTATTATATTATAGACAATATCACAACTATTTGGCAAGCTCTAAACAGTCTCAATTCTACAGAAGTCATAAATAAATAATAAGAGACCAACACATATCTCCCCTTTAAAATGATAAAACACATTGAGCTATGAATAAAGACAACGACTGTCGAGGTTTCTGATTGAGTGATATGAACATATTGTGCATAGGAATGGTGGTTGAGTGACATGAACATATTGTGCATAGGAATGGTGGTTGAGTGACATGAACATATTGTGCATAGGAATGGTGATTGGGTGAGATAAACATATTGTACATAGGAATGGTGATTGAGTTACATGAACATATTGTGCATAGGAATGGTGATTGAGTAACATGAATACATCGTGCATAGGAATGGTGATTGAGTGACAACAACATATTTTGTATAGGAATGATGATTGAGTAACATAAATATATTGTGCATAGGAATGGTGGTTGAGTAACATGAACATATTGTGCATAGGAATGGTGATTGAGTAACATGAACATATTGTGCATAGGGATGGTGATTTAGAAACACGAACATATTGTGCATAGGAATGGTAATTGAATGACAACAACATATTGTGCATAGGAATGGTGATTGAGTGACATGAACATATTGTGCATAGGAATGGTGATTGAGTAACATGAACATATTGTGCATAGGAATGGTGATTGAGTGACAACAACATATTGTGTATAGGAATGATGATTGAGTAACATAAATATATTGTGCATAGGAATGGTGGTTGAGTAACATGAACATATTGTGCATACTTACTTACTATGTATTTATATACACAAACATTTTAATAATACTGTCAAAAGTATCACTCTCGAGATTATCTTTCGGACATTGGGTTTTGGACGCAGGTTTCCGACATCTTTTACTATACTTAAAATGTTGTCATTTGACTGCATTTTT